AGAGAAAGAGTATCGGGACTTAATTAATCAGTTACAAAAATTAAGGACAGGGAAGATGTCTGAGAAGGCGAGGCTAATTGCGAAAATCACCCAGGTCCTTGTGTTCCTCAACCTAGAGTCCAAAGGCAGCCCCTGTCCTCTGGTTTTAGTACAGATCAGCCGGAGGAGGGAGTGGCTGAGGTTTTCCCTGTATCGGAGACTAGAGACGCTCAAGGGGTTTCGTGGAGACATCACACAGGGTATAATTTTCAAATTGTTAAAGAATTAAAAAATTTGGTGGCACAATACGGTGCCACTGCTCCCTTTACTCTTGCAATCTTAGAATCTGTTGCAGAGGAGTGACTGACTCCTGGTGATTGAAATACTCAAGTGAGAGCAGTTCTTATCGGTGGTGACTATCTTATTTGGAAATCAGAGTATCATGAGAATTGTAAAGAGACAGCTAGGAGAAACATTCAGGCAGGTAATGGTTGGTCCTTTGATCCCTTAGTAGGAGAAGGGCAATTTGCTTCTAGTGATAACTGTAGAGAGAAAATTATAGATACTGGGTATATAGAATCCTTTTTAGACATATAAAATATTCTTTAGGCTTTCTTTAGGAATGTGGAAAGACCAGTCACCATTACTGGAACTGGCCGACCCACAAAGAGAAAGGAAAGAATGCAATTTAGTCAGGTGGAACCAAGCTGAGAACCATAGTGACAGGGCAAGGCCGAAGTGACAGGGCAAGGCCGAAGTGACAGGGCAGGACTACATTCTTGAGATTATTGCTATGCCATCAATATCAAACCCTTGGACAGGGAAACGGAAGCTATGAAACACCCCTCAAACTGGCAGTTGGGGTCAATTCAGCTCCTGCGTGGGCATACGAATTGACCGGCAGCTAGTTGTCACGCCCTAATAAATAACCTCGCAATTGCTCCGGTACATGGTGTCTCGAGCAGATTACTGGGTGGTCGCGACTTTCTGAGACTTGAGAGAGGGTCTCCCCTCTGCGGAGGTCTTCAATAACCAGATGGAATATGACCCAGGCTTATTCGCTCAAATTCAAAATTCAGCCATGAAGGCTTGGCGCAAACTCCTGGTAAAGGGAGACCCTGGTGCATCTTTGACCTCAGTCAGACAAGGGCCTGATGAAAGATTTTCTGATTTTGTTCATCGATTAATGACAGCAGGGAGGATTTTTGGTAATGCAGAGATAGGTGTAGATTATATGAAACAACTTGCATATGAAAATGCCAATCCTGGTTGCCAAGCAGCCATTAGACCCTATAGGAAAAAGACAAACCTTACTGGTTATATCAGACTCTGTTCTGACATAGGGCCCTCCTACCAACAGGGCTTAGCTATGGTGGCTGCCATGCAAGGACAATCGGTAAGAGATTTTTCTGGCAAGTAGAGATAAATAGGCCTGTTTTAAGTGTGGCAAGCCTGGACACTTTGCAAAATATTGCAAAGCAGAAAATGAGTTAACCCAGAGACAGCCCAGAAAATAGCCTGGCCTATGCCCACTTTGCAAACATGGAAGGCATTGGGCTAATGAATGTAGGTCCAGGACAGGTGCACATGGAAACACCTTTTCACATAATCAGGGAAATGGGAACAGGGACCAGCCTCAGGCCCTGAACCAACACAAGCCAAAACAGGCTTATGGGGCAGTCAGTATCATACCAGCAAACAACAGCCCCTTTCAGAACTTAGTAGAGCAACACCAGGAAGTGCAGGACTGGACCTCAGTTCTGCCACCCACATAGTATTAACCCCAGAAATGGGACCTCAGGCCGTACCCACCGGAGTGTTTGGACTACTCTATCCAAATGTGTTTGGCCTGATAGTGGGAAGAAGCAGTGCTACTATGCATGGACTACAAATTTTTCCTGGAGTTATAGACAATGATTATCAAGGTGAGATTAAGGTAATGGCCAAGGCAATACAGAATATAATCACTATTCCTACAGGAAGGATAGCTCAACTATTGTTACTTCCGTTGATCTCTACTAATCACAAATATAAGAGTCCTAAAAAAGAGGATCAAGGCTTTTGTTCCTCTGATGCATACTGGGTACAGCCTATAGTTACACAAAAACCTATAATGACAATATTGCTCAATGGGAAGGCATTCCAAGGTTTGGTTGATACAGGAGCTGATGTGATGATTATCAAAGTGACTGGCCTGCCACCTGGCCTCTGACCCCAACTTTAACCAATTTAAGGGGTATTGGCCTATGCCCTTCCTCCAGCCTTGAGCAGGCCTGAGACCTTGTTTACCACAAGAGACCAGATAATAGGACCTAGGTGGAACTAACCACCTTGGCTGCATATCAATAGACACCTAGGTGGAGTCACCCACCTTGGTTGCACGTAGATCCTGCTACAGGAACTTGAAATAAGAACTGCCCCTGGGCTTGCCTTGAGACATCTCCAGCCGTGACCCGTGACCAAGAATGGATTATCCCACCCATCTCACCTGGCTGAAACTAGGAAGGGTTCGGGCGGGGTCTTCCCCTTTAAATTGAAAGCTTAACATTAAACCATCGAGCCTTTATCAGAGAACTTTGTCTTGGCTTCATCTTTTCTCGCTCTCCATCCCCCTTTCATTCCCAGCCCTCTTTCCAGGTGAACCCGTTTGACTCGTGGCCGCAGGCGGCTACATTGGCCAAAGTCAAAATCCACAACAAAGCTCTAAGGTGCTGACATGGAAAGACAAAGAAGGAAATACAGGGAATATACAACCCTATGTCATCCCAGGCCTTCCCATTAATCTCTGGGGTAGAGATCTGTTATCCCAGTTGGGATTGATTATGAGCAGCCCTAATGAAGTAATCACGGCTCAAATGATAAACTCTGGATTTTCTCCAGGGAAAGGACTAGGGAAAAGTGAAGATGGGATTACTCATCCTATTGAGGTCCATGGTAACTCTGGAAGAAGAGGCTTGGAGTATTTTTGATGGGGGCTATTGATTCAACTGCACCCCTAGGGTGTTGTGCCGATCCCATCACCTGGAAGGGGGACTCACCTGTCTGGGTGGATCAGTGGTCCCTAACCACCGAAAAATTACAAGCTCTGCTCAACTGCTAGTAAAAAATCAATTTGAAAAAATTAAGAATGGGTAATGGTACCCTACCAAGGGATCCCCAGAAAATTTGAATTTCTTAACTTTGGATTCTGAAGGAAAATCTGCTTCAGATAGATTCTGGCATCCTGATACCAAAAAGAATTTTGCAACACTCCTCTGGAAAGACCCATTAACTGGAACCTGGAATGGACCAGATCCAGTACTTATCTGGGGAAGAGGTTCTGTCTGCATATATTCCAAAATGGCAGATGCTGCACGCTGGCTGCCAGAAAGACTGATCAAACAAATAGACAACAATAACAAATCCAGGGAGGAGAAACCCCCTGAGAAGCGTTTTTCTTTACAGGAAACATGAAGATGCTTCACAATTGTCTTCAAACAGGAGCGGATCAACTAGCATACAGGACTTGGGAAGTTCTCAGTACGAAAGAAGACATCACCACCCACACCTCCAGGGTGGCTCTATTGGACTTTTGGTTCCCTGATTTATGATTTAGTGGGGTACATTGTTTAGACTCAGGAGAAAACCCATTACCACAGTTACTATAGTTTTTTGGGTTTAGGATTGACTGGGGCGAGAACAGGGATTTTCTTTATTTGTTTTGTTAAGATCAAAGCTATGATCAGTTCTGTACCTCTATAGATTTAGATTTAGAAAGAATGGAATCTGCTATAATGCATTTGTAAAATTCATTATCCTCGGGCCGGGCGGTGGTGGCGCACGCCTTTAATCCCAGCACTTGGGAGGCAGAGGCAGGCAGATTTCTGAGTTCAAGAGTTCGAGGCTAGCCTGGTCTACAGAGTGAGTTCCAGGACAGCCAGGGCTACACAGAGAAACCCTGTCTCGGAAAAAACAAAAAAACAAAAACAAAACAAAAAAAAATTCATTATCCTCTTTAGCTGAAATAGTGCTACAGAATAGAAGAGGCTTATACTTTTTACTCCAACAGAGGGAGTTGTGTGCTACCCTAAAAAGAGTGTTGCTTTTGCACTAACCATTCAGGCATTGCTAAGTCTCTTGTCTCTCGGGTTCACGCTGTTCAACAAACTGATGGCTTTTGTACGACAACAGATAGACGCTATCCAAATGAAACCCATAGAGGTCCATTATTACAGGCTGGAAGTAGGGGACTCCAAAACCTCTGTCATCAAGACTGACAAGGATTAACCCTTAACTTACGCGCTAAGCCGGATAGTCAATGACGGGTAAGAGAACACCTCAAGACCCTTGCCCCAATCTGGGAGGCCTCACCATCCTAAGACAGGAGCTCAACCAATGGCTGTTGAGTATCCAAAGACGGGAAAGGGAGGCTGGGGTCCTTTGTTCCAACCTAAGGCAGGTACGGTTTCTGTAAGTTTTCCCAGCCTTCCCTTTTGAACAAATAATTAAAAAGGGGGACCTGTTGGGAGCCGACTCCGAGCAGAAAGTGGCTATCATCTTTGCAGCCATCTCGAGCCATATACCCTGACAAGAGACTTATTTTCAACAGCCTACAACAGCTGAGCACACTCTGATAAATATGTTTTTCTCACATATCTTGTTTTGTTGTTTAGTGCCCCCAGCTGCAAGATGCACATGGTAAAGTGTCTTCAGCTGTGTTCCCCGGCTTGTGCTTATATATACCCAGGATTTCCTTTCATTAAAGGAGAGACTTGAGGAGAGAATAGACCAGACTCTGTCTCGTTTCTTTGCATCTCTCATCCCTCTGTCCCCACTCTCTCTCTTGCTAGACCCTGACCCACAGATTGGAGCAGCAGAACGGGCAGTTACAACGTGGCCCCCAAACGTGGAGCAGAACAGGGCCGTTTTACTACGCCACCGCCCATGTGAATTCATGATCTCTTGTGCATAATTTCTCATTCGCAACTTCATCTCCATCTCTTTCACACTCCTCAGCCCTGCTCCCCCCAAAATTCACAGCATATGATTAAATTCACTTTTATTTTTTTAAATACATAGGAAACAGGACTCTATCAAAAGAGAACAAAGAACAAATATGAGCCAAGTGTTGCCAAGAGAGAGCATGCACAAGTCTGCTTAGGGTCTGTCCCCAAGCACTGGCTCTACAGGACCTCAGCACACATACGTGGAGCTGCTGGAAGGGGTGAGCCTTACTCACCAAATACAAGGAAACAAGAACGCTGGGAAACACCCCCAGAAGTGCAATTTTCATAGGCATTGTCAGTGGTTACGTCTGAAGGAATTCCAATGTGGGCTCAATGGCTAACAAAATTTATCTTACACAGACACTGAAGTATAAAATTATTGAGCCCTATCAGTCGTTCAGTTTCTCAAAAGGATTTGCTATCAAAAAGATAAGATTTAGTCATGGACACTGAGTGCCTTGATCAGCTGTTCCCTGATGCAATCCCAGGGGCAGCTCTGACTGTGCTTCTTGATTTGAAAAAGGAACAGAGGAAATTGAAGTTAAAGCCACAAGTGATAGAGGAGAGAGGAAATGTTTGGACCATGTAGTCATCTTGATTGTAAACAGCAGACATTGTGCTTTGTTGTCTTATGTAAAACAAGGACCCAAGCATGAAGGGTACTGGATCCAGTAACAGGAAGCCAGAGACACAAAGGTGCTCACTGATGGGCAGCAGCAGCTGCATCCTTAACTGCCTTTAAAGGTATCCATTCCTTCCCTGCAATTTCCTATGAAACTGTCTACCAGGCCCTATGCTTTCTGTCTTTAAGCTAAGCCCCCATAGCTACTGTCGACTCCTGAACCTCCGCCTCATATAAATACCCCAATGGAGACTGACACCACACCTCCTGGTCTTGTAGGTGGTAAAGAATACTCAATGTCCACTCAAGAAACACGTTTGGATGCCTGATTCAACAATTAACAGTTTATCAAATGGCTCTGATAAGTTCATTTACAATGTCAGCCCCCTTCCTCGCAGCCCCACTCCCCAACATACTACACATAAATAATCTAGACATCTTAGCTATATTTCCTTGCTCTTAGTACACAAGGTCTCAACCTGGGTTTAAATACACATCAACGTGACTAACTACACAAGAGAACAGAACTCCATACAGCTAACAACTCCCACCACTACTTGTATATATATGGATGAGCTCCGATTCTCACCTGGGAAACAGCATCTCTAACTACACTTCTTTCTCTACTTTTGATTATGTCGTCTGTGCAACTAAGTAGGTTTTCACTGTTCTATCCACAAATGTCCCCTCTTCTGAGGCCAGCACATCTCTGCTCTGATCACATACAACCCTAGCTCTTACTTAGCAATGCTGGTCTTGCTTTGCTGGGTTTCTTTGGCTGTTCTCTCCCTCTCCAAGGGTCAATGTAACTACCCAGTCTAATGTGTTCCTCAGCTCTATAGTGTCCATAAAACCCATCACCAGAACTACCTAAGAAAAGGGTGTTGGAGCCCTCTGAGCAGAGATCCCCCACCCCTAGAGTGTACACTCTCCATCTGATCTCAAAGGACACACCCTCACTTCAATACATGCACTAAAAGAAAAGCCAGATCATGATTCATAAAACGCAATGTCTCCATTTAGAGAATTTTCCCTAACTTAAAGCCTTCCCCTCTCTTACGGTCCTTATTTCACTACAGATGTCCAACTGAGGCCTGATTCTGACCCTCATGTTTTAATAGAAGCAATATATACTTGGGTCTTTCCTGCAGAGGAAAACCTATTTTCAAAATGTGAGTAGAGACCAAAGAGCATCAACAGCACATCCCCACAGCTTCTATTAGAAGAATGGGCTGGGACAGTGGATAGTGTTGCTTCAAACTGCACTGCCAAGTACTGTATCATGTGAGTCTTAGCTCACCTGACCACTCTATCTGCCCCCTGACATATAGGCTATTCCTTCCTTTCCTCTTAGCCTTACTCCCGAGGATCTACCCTGGTCACCCTAGGAATATCAACCCTCAGGGACTGCTGCCACACTCTTCCAGAGAGCACAGACTACATCAGAAACAGAAGCAACAGAGGAGACAGTGTGGATTCAAATGTCCTCCACAAAAAACTTGAAAGACACATGGGCTTGCTTTGAAAATATCCAAGAGAAGTTTGCCCTTGGGTCGCCCTATCAGCAAGTATCAGTGAGGATGGGGAGGGACACAAAAGGGCCTGTCCATCCTCTTTGCCTTCCATGTAGCATCTTGCTACTTGTCCTTCACCACCTGTTCATAGGGGGGTGGGGGTGTGTTGCAGTAGGAGGGAGGTGGTGGGTAAGTTGTGCCTCCGTGGGGTGAATTGGGCTGGACCTGGAAAGCCATAGCCATGGTACTGCCAACAGGATTCATCCCGGGTCCTCCAGGGTCGGTGTAATATGGTGGCCCCATTTGCTGTCCTCCTGAAAGACAGGTATCCAAACATTGAGTGCAAAGAGAAAAGCCTACTGTTTGGCACATCTCACTACTAGGAGACCCCTTGCCCCCATCATCCACTGACTGCATTACGTCTATTAGAAACAGAACATTTCTCGAGACAGTAAACACCTAAATTTGGTAATAAGCAAGGAAGACATACACGGCTGTGCCCTCAGTGGGTACAATTCCTCTGGAGAGACATATTGCTAAAATATCCTATCAGTCTTCAGAGTAGTGGATTATCCTACAGAAACACAGACATTTGTCACAAATTCCGAGAGACAAAACAAGGTGGCTAAATTTGATAGAGCTGACTCTTGGCCCAGATTCATCATAGTCCCATTACACTTTGAACACACTGTACTGGGAATTCACTGTTATCTTAAGTTAAGGTCTCCATTCCTGCACCATTTTATAAAGGCAAAGAGTATGTGTCATCCAGGGTGGCCAAAGGTCTCAGGCAGGTAGGTAACTCCCACAGGCCAATGTGGGTATATTTGGCAGTTTCTTGAGATATGTCTGCTTCTTCTGTGGCAGTAGGAAGTGGTTATTGTATACACTTAGCCTTCTTTCTGCTCTTGAGGAGCAGAGGAGGAGGAAGGAGGGCCCAATTGCCTATGACAGGTGAGCATAGGAAAGGGTGCTGTCTCTGTACTGGAGATATAGCTTCGGGTATGTTTGTAATGTCCCCAGAGTACAGCTACTCAAGTTAACACTGGAGTACCAGCTCATGGATTTTGTAGGAATTGGTGAGCTAGATACATCTTAAAATGTTATAAAACATTTGAACATGGAGATACATTCAGAATACTTAAAAAGCAGAACAGACGACAGACAGATGGGCACGTTATATCCATTAAGAACGTTTTTTTTAGTGGAGAAACTCGACAACTACCAGTCTTGAACATGCTAGAAAACCTGTGGTGGAGGTTATAGAGATAGTAGCGGCAGCAGCAGCAGCAGCAGCAGCTTCTACTAGTGGTTAGTAGCTGAAGGCTCCCAGCAGACAGACAACAAGGTAGGGGGAATAGGGACAGTTTAGCCAGGGACAGAGGTTCTCAGAGGAAGTGCACAATCCAGACCTCTCCACAGTTCTGTGGATCTAGCTGGAAGATCTTGTAGAAGCTTTTCCTTTCATATGTAAGTATGGATGTGTGTGTCTGTTAAGTATCTAATTATGAGATAAGTATGAAAGTGAGCCCAGTTGGTTTGGATGGAGAGGTACGAATGTGTATACGAATTTATGTGTTTATTCATATTTGGTTGTGTAAAAGTTTTTTCTTCTGCAAGCGTGACTCTTTTCTCTTGGATCAATAGAAGTTTATTGCTCCAAACCTCCCCCAAGCCTGACAAGTGAGAGGCTTCGGGACAAGAGGGGAAAGGCCCTAGCAATGAATCCTTTACTAATTCCAAGGCTGCTATTTTATGATGAAGTACTAAACCTCTGAGGCCAAGACTGCGGTTTCTGGCCTTAGAGGAACTCAGGCAGGTCAGCTACAGCAGCAAAGTGACCTAGACTTTTAGACAGTACACGTTTTGTTATTAAACAGCAACTCTAAAAACCTCTCAAGACCTAGTTTTGCCCCTGCTGATGCTCTTCCCTGTCTGCTACATCAAGAGAAAACGAAGAAGAAAGAAGAACAGCCAGGGCTGGTACATCAGCAGCAAGTACATCAGTAAAAAAATCAGGACATGAGATGATACATACACAATATATTGCATTGCTACCAGCAGGAACAAACAATAAAGTCGCTCATCAGACCTTAAATGATCAAATAGTGATCCAATTTATCTCTTCTAGCACACTCTGGGGCATAACTAATGTCTGACGAGGTCACACAAATTATTAGGGGGACAGACAAGGATGAAGCTGGCTGACCTGGAGCAGGATTTGGTGGTTGCCTGGTATAGGACACATTGAATGTGGGCTCCTCAATGAGTGGTGGTGGATACATGCGGCGACGAATGAAGAAACCAGCTCCGCAGCAGAACAGCACACCCATCATCAGCAGGAACCTGAAAAAATACAAACATGAAGTGAGAGTTCAGGTCACAGGCTGAGGTCAGGCTATAGAACTGCAACAAACATTCCTGAGGATTCTCCAGGGGTCCCGGAACACCACTCTCCAACAGCACAGAGATGCAGCAATCTGTGAGAAGCCTCCAGCCAGGAGGCTTGGGTGTCTCTGGGTTATTTCACCCTGGGATTCTTCTCTTCTGGAGAACACCAGTGAGATACTCATCCTGGAAACCTCTGAGGTATCCCCAGAGTAGAAGCCACTAACACTGAGAGGCTTGAAAAAATAAAAAAATCTGTATTACAGTAGCTATAGGTGATTGGTTTCAAGCACGTGTTAGTCTAAACAGAAGACACTGCCAAACCTAGTCTCTATTATTGTTAACATTTCCAATTCTTCCCTTCAAAACCACACAACTATACATTTATCCTCCCTAATACCTCTCTACATTATGAAGTGAACATTTAATAATTAAAAAGGCATCTAGAGCACTTGCTTAATCAGTAGGGAAATATAGGAAGATAGAGGGACACAGTCAGCAAAACAGAAGAACACTAAGAAAGCTCCAGGCTGTAACATTGCTGTTTACTCTCCACATCTTGATTCTAACGTCTAACAGGCAAAGAAAGTGTGTGCTTTACAGGTAAGAATTGGTCTAAACCATCTAAGATTCTCATTGACTAGTAAATTATCAGTAAAGGGCAACCACAGGCAAAACTGATAAATTCTTCTTCATCTCTGGCCCATGTAACTTTCTAGAACTCCACACAACATGCCCATATTCTGGGTCTTATACACAGCAGGGTTGGTCATGGCTAATGACACCAGACAACGTATTAAAAAAAGTTGAAGACAAGAGTATGTGATGGACCTTTGAAAATCGTAATATGACTAAGGAGAAGGCCATCAGCCAGTCAATAGGAACTTACCAGGTAATCTTGGAATACTGAGAAAGAACTTAAAACAGACACAGAGATGACTCAGGAAAAGGCTGAAATTGTAGTCTTTGTGTTCTTTCAATTTATTATTTATTTGACAAGTAACTGTTCCGCACCTTTGATAGCCACAACCCCACAGGAGGTAAAGTAGGTATGTTGGTTGATTTTTGCAAATTTGGCACAAACCCAAACATATTTTGGGAAGAGAGAATATTAATTGAGAAAATGTTTCCATTAGATTCTCTGTAGGTAAATCTATGGGGTATTTTCTTGATGGCTTGATGTGGGAGGGACAAGTGAACCATGGACAATGCCACCCCTGGGCAGTTAGACCTGGGCTATATAAAAAAGCAGGCAGAGAAAGTCATGAGGAGCCAGCTGGTGGTAAGCAGTGTCCCTTCAAGGCCTCTGCTTCAGGTCCTGACCTGACCTCCTGCAGTGATGGAGTTTACCTGAGAGTTGTAAAATGAAATAAATCCCTTCCTTCCTCCCCATGCTTCTTTTAGTCACTGTTTTATCACAGAGGTAGATACCCTAAGACAGTAGGTGAAGCCCTTCCCCATACCTCAGTAAACTTCAGCTGTAATAGAAGAGGGTAAAACTGAATAACAAATGTATCCAATTCTTTATTCATAACAAATGATAAGAAAAATGAAGATTGGGAGAATAGACCTGTGTGATGTATGTATCAAAATTCATCATTTTACTTTAAGTGTATAAGTCAGTGCACTGGGAGATTTACACTAAGATATCAATTGTACATAAAAATGGATGAATAAGTCTAGTGGTGGGAGCTATCTCAGCACTTGGGAGGCAAAGGCAGGTGGATCTCTAAGTTCGAGATCTGGTCTACAGGCCTGGCTTTCTGGTCTTCACCATGAGAAAAGGCCAAGATGCTGGTTACCCTGCTAGATAGAACTTTTATCTCCTAGATGAAAATCAACACTGTACCTCACACTTAAGAAGCAAGAGTAGGACAGAGTCACTTGGCAGGAGACCAACTTGTGGCTTTGGTATCACACAGTAACAGATCTGTTCCTTATTGAAAAATTAGCCTCAGGACTTATTCCTAAAAGGGAAGCCTACAAAAGGCCAGGAAAATGAACTGCATGTTGCCCGGGTAAGAGTTATGGCAATTAATGGAAAAGTCCTTTTTAAAGGATTCTGGCGAGTCATAGTGACTTGTCCCCTGAACCTTCACCCAGCCGATAGCCGGTTCTGAAGATATCTGTATTCCCCCTGAACACCCACACTCCAGTGTCATTCCCTTCCCCACATCCTGCCTTTCTGTGTTTATAACCCGTGTGAATGAATTACGATTCGAGAAAAAATAAATTATAAAAAAAAATAAAAAATAAAAAATAAAGGATTCTGACCATATGCACGTTGCCCATGGCAGTCTCTTGTTGTGCAGCATAGTTGGAAAGCTTCCCAAGGACTGACTGGGAGAAGTTGTTTTCATTTTTTAATGAAGTCAGAAGTAGTCCAGTTTCTTTATTTTAGTTTGTCTTCAATTCCTCTTTTAATGGGGCAGTTCTCCATTTTGCAATGTCCTGGTGACTTGCAGCAATGACACAAGACCCTGTGGCCTGGATCCATCCTAGGGGAGGTATGGGAACCTCCTCCTTTCCATTTGGCAGCATGTGCTTTACAATGCTAATGAGGGGCACACAGCCACAGTGACCTTCCCCAACAGGGCTGCTCTGTCTGGCCCCAGTGGAAAAGGATCCTCCTAACCCTGCAGAGACTTGATATCCCAGGGTGGGGGGATACCTGGCAGGGGGGCACCTGTGGGGGAACTGGGAGGTGAGGCAGCATTTGGACCTTAAGTAAAAAACAAAAACAAAACCTTCAGCTTTTACAGGTGGCAGGGCCTCTTAAACAAATTCTCCTCCAAACTACAGTACTAAAGCCAGTATAGGAGCCAGAGGGGTCAAGGATACCACAAGAACAAGGCCCACCCAATCATCTAAGCAGGGCTCATAGGGACAGCGACTGAACAAACAAATAGGTGGGCCTTTTCTTTGTGGGACTTCCAACAGTGGGAACAGAGCCTGTCTCTGACTCTTTTGCCTGCTTTTGGGACCCTTTCCCTCCTACTGGGTTGCCTTGTCCAGTGTTAATACAAGGAGTAGTGCCTAGTCTTACTGTAACTTGTTATGCCATGTTTGGTTGATATCCCTGGGTAGCCTGTTCTTATCTGAAGGGAAACAGAGGAGGTGTAGGCCTGAGGGAGAGGGGCAGGGACTGAGTGGAGAGGAGGGAGGGAAACTGCAGTTGGGGTGTACTATATGAGAGAAGAATAAAGACATTAATTAATTAGAAGAAGAGGAGGAGGAAGAGGAAGACAGAGACAGAGAAGGAGGAGAAGGAGGAGGAGGAAGAGGAGGAAGAAGAGGAAGAGGAGGAAGAGGAGGAGGAGGAAGAAGAAGAGGAGGAAGAGGAAGAGGAGGAGGAAGAGGAAGACAGAGACAGAGAAGGAGAAAGAGGAGGAAGAGGAGGAGGAGGAAGAGGAGGAGGAGGAAGAGGAGGAGGAAGAGGAGGAAGAAGAGGAAGAAGAGGAGGAGGAGGAGGAACATATCATTGACTTTTCTCACACTCAGCCCCAGACCTGCATGAAATGCTTATTCATTATGCTGGAAACAATCTCACTTGAAAGATCTACTCAAACACTTTGGAGCTTTTTCCCAAATTAAGGGTATCAGAAGTTTTGTGCAGGGCTGGAGAGATGGCTCAGGAGTTAAGAGCATCAACTGCTCTCCCAGATGACCTAGGTTCAATTTCCAGCACCCACATGACAGCTCACAACTGTCTATAACTCCTGGATCTGACACTCTCACATAGACATATAGGAAAAACATCAATGCATATAAAATAAAAATAAATAATTAAATGTTTTGTGCAGTTTTGTTACTGAAGGGTTAATGACCTAAAAGCCTCAGATGGGTTGAGAAACTCCAGACCAAGTTGACTTGACTGACAACACCTGTGGCCTGTTGGGATCCAGGAAGCTCCTGATAAAGAGATAAGCATAGAAGCACCTGCTGGTACCTACTACTCTGAGGCTGCAGGGGAACTGACTTGATCATTTAATCTACCTCACCAAAGTTCCCCTTTCTCACCCTATACACTCATAGCCCCCCTGTGCCGTGTGCCCAGTCTCCACCCTTCAGTTGTTCTGATTAAAAGGCCAGTTCTGCTTCTGGAGATGCCTGTCTGCTCTTTCTGCATCTACGCCGTGTCCATCAATCTCAGTCTAATAGTTACTGTCTACTGAAAGCTGTCCCTTTCAGGAATGTGGCTGCCACAGAAGCCTTTCTACAGAAGCCCCAGAATCTTAACGACTGAATGTTTACTGACAGAAGAAATGTATGGATCAGCCTCCAAGAGAACTTGTATTTTGACTAGGGCACTTCAGATTCCATTTCTAGGCATTCTGGCTATACCTTCACTTGTATCATGTGTCATAGTTGAAACACTAATAACCTAATTAACTGTTTTGGCAGCTGATGGTCTGACCGTGTAAGAGCAAGGTTGTGGGACGCTTCAGTCTGTGTGAGATACTGCCAAATCACCATGTGTGGCCTCACTGTTTACCCCACCACCAACAGGTGCCCTTGCCCAGAAAACAAAAGCACTTAGAGCCTGGAAGATCTCTCTCTCATCTCTCAACACCCAATTTTAACAAGTTTAACCATTTTCAGAAGCATTCCTATAACCCTAACATAGTACGTATAATGCTGCAAACCAACCCAGCATACCTGTGACTCCTCCTAGGTTTAGGGTTTTACGCATTGTAGTCCTGCTCTTTCCAGCGAGTCTCAGAAAGAAGATTCCTAAATGAGGGCCTGACTTGCATCCAGGCCGTACTTTGAAGTGTCCTTGTCTGTGTTTCCCTTTTGTTTTGAAGTTTTACTTTCAAAGTCTTACTTTTGGAAGTTTGGGCAGAGGAATTCATCTTCTCTTACAGAGTTTTACTCACTTAATTTTAAGTTGATGTATTCCCAGTACATAGTGGCTGGGTTCATTTCAATTCTTTCAATGTGACACAATCTCCTTC